CTAAATAAGATTCCAACTAACCTTAAGATTAAACATCTAGAAAAGTATACAACTGACATAGATACAAATAAATGGGTCCAAAAAGGGATCCTCATGATCAGCCAAATATGGAGTCAAGACAAATTAATTTCCTTCCATCAAATTTAACCAAATTATCAGTTACCTAAAAAAGAACTATTTACCTGAGAATACATTTTTTTTATTTAACACAACATCATGGGTGTTAGCTCAGGACTGGCTAAGAAAATCGCGTAAATCTTTGATCACGAGCCAGTTAATAAAGTAACTTCAAAAGGGTTGTCCATCATTATATTGTTAAACTCTATGGAAACATTTCCAGTTTGCTCGATATTGGAGAGAGGCATACTACCTTTCTAAAGTAAATTGCTCAGTTCACTGTCTTGATCTAGTGGAAACTCAATTTAAAGTATTAAACAGATGGCATATTGTCCCTACCAGATTGGCCTAAATGTCAATAGCAGAATCACCCATCTGTAGGAGATGCAATAATAAAGACAGGATGTTTCTCCACATATGTTGGGGCTGTGAAATAATATCGCCAGTCTGGAAAAGGATTTTTGAATATTTTATGCTATTAGCAATTATTAAAATTTTGAAAATCACCATTTGATGCTCTACTCCATCTAAAATTCCCTCCTTGGCAAAAAAAAAATAATCTATTTTTCTTTATTCATTGTATGATTGTAACAAAATAATAAACCAGAATAATAATAGCCAGAAATTGGAAATCTCCAGAATTGCCACATTGGACCCAATTTAGAAAACATCTTAGTTTATAACTGACAATAGAAAAAAAGGTGAGTACGTCAAATGGTAATAATTAGTGATGTCCCGAATGGTTCGCCGAACGGTTCGCGAACGGTTCGCCACGGTTCGCCACGAACGGTTTGCTGCGGACTCCCACCTCCTGAACAGCATCCATTTTGAAGCTGCATTCTTAGTGAGCTGTCCAGGAGGTGGGAGGGTCTGGGAGGGAGGGTCTGCTGCTGATTGGCTGGAATGTGTCTGCTGACTGGAGTCCGTGGCGAACCGTTTGGCGAACTGTTCGGCGAACCGTTCGGGACATCACTAGTAATAATTATAAGCTATGTAAGATATTGGAATCCTGGCAAAAAACAGATGAATCCTATGAGTTAAGATAAGGGTTACTGAACTTAATAATAAAGTGATCATAGTGGTGTTATTTAACAAGTGGTTTCCCCTTACCCCCCCTTCTGACGACATGTTTTAAGCTCTATGTTTTGTATATGTTTTGTGTTCTTATATATTGATATCTGTTAGGCAGATACGCTATATTAGAATTTTCTTGTGATTGATAAATTGGCACTAATATACAGAATGGAGGGGGAGGTAGATGGGAGTTGGTGCAATAAGAAAGTGTATGAAAATATCAGTAACAATTCTTTATATCCAATTAATTGTGCACCCTCCTACTTGTCTCTATTTTTTAATTTTATACTGAATAGAATCCACTGGTATGATTTACATTTCTAAGCTTATATGTATGCTCTCCTCCTCTCCCCCTTTCTAAAAAAAACCAAATACATTTAAAAGAAAAGGAAAAGAAAAGGGAAAAATAGAGGAAAGAAAAGAAAATAGGGAAAAGAGGGGACTAGTGCAATTAAGTTTCATATGGACTGATTATCTGACTGTATATTTGAACTTATATATTTGTAATGTATGTTAAATGTATAAATGAAATTATCTAAATAAAAATAAGATAACAAAAATAATTACATTAATTAATTAATTAATTAATGTCCCATAACAATATTTATGTTATTCTCACAGAATACATTTCCTTGTTACCAAAACTAAAATTATCACCTAATAGTAATTACTACCCTACCACCCAATGCCCCTTCCCCCTGTTTATTATGAAAATTAGAGCCCCCACCCAAGGGGAAATAGACACTTACAGGTTTTAATATAATTATAACTCCCACTCACCTCCATTGGGTGGGGACTGGGAGGGATTCACAAATTAGTGCCTACATCCAAATAAGATGTCTACCCTCCCCCCCCCCACCCCCAAACACACACCTTTTACAGTAATAGCTGCTGGCCATGGGTGCGTCACAGGAATGAACAGCGATCTGCCCACACTTCAATCATTTAATTTGAAGCCCCCACCTGATGTCCATTAGTGGGGGCACAGGAGTGAATCTGGCACATGAATGTTATTAGTTGTTATTAGTAACTGGGCAGCAATAAACATATAGTTAGTTTATTTAGTGTGTAACAGATAAAGCAATAATATTGTAATGTGAATGCTAACTACTGTTCTTTGCTCTGTGGTACAATGTTTGCAGTGCTAAATAGCTGCAATCAATTCAAAGTCCACTTCCCAATGGGACAATCCTGAAGGTGGTCCAACTTCATATATCTCCTTTACATAAATGAAAACACAAAGCCATTGTGTCTCATTAACAAGAAGATATTGTTGTCAATCTATTAAAAATATGTTTCCTTTATTCCAAATGGATTAAAAACAATTAATCACATAAAGCAAACAGTAATAGCTTAAAGACTCACATAAATGGTGTGGACGTGAAGTTTTAAGTAGTCGACATGTCTCTACCCAAAGCATGCTCAATATAAGATACAAGGAAACAAGCCTACCGAGGGGTAAGTGGAGGGTTTGGATAAAAGAGTGTATTTGAAAATAGAGTGCCTGTGATTAGAAAGGCAATCAACGTTTTGAAGAATGGACATTGCATGAGCAGACCGGCATGTAGCAAAGGATGCGGAGAGCTGCACCCCTCTGAGGCATTTCAGATTCAGTGACTTGATCTGATTTGAGGTCCACCCACAAGGATTCAGTGTACTTTTGTTCAAGGGATGCAGTGTGTGTTTAGTTTGTGTATAGTGTATACAGTGTGTGTGTGTGTGTATAGTGGATGCAGTGTGTGTGTGTATAGTGGATGCACTGTGTGTGTGTGTATAGTGGATGCAGTGTGTGTGTGTGTGTATAGTGGATGCACTGTGTGTGTGTTTGTGTGTGTAGTGGATGCAGGGTGTGTGTATATAGTGGATGCACTGTGTGTGTGTTTGTGTGTGTAGTGGATGCAGTGTGTGCGTGTATATAGTGGATGCACTGTGTGTGTGTTTGTGTGTGTAGTGGATGCAGTGTGTGTGTGTATATAGTGGATGCACTGTGTGTGTGTTTGTGTGTGTAGTGGATGCAGGGTGTGTGTATATAGTGGATGCACTGTGTGTGTGTTTGTGTGTGTAGTGGATGCAGTGTGTGCGTGTATATAGTGGATGCACTGTGTGTGTGTTTGTGTGTGTAGTGGATGCAGTGTGTGTGTGTATATAGTGGATGCACTGTGTGTGTGTTTGTGTGTGTAGTGGATGCAGGGTGTGTGTATATAGTGGATGCACTGTGTGTGTGTTTGTGTGTAGTGGATGCAGTGTGTGTATATAGCGGATGCAGTGTGTGTGTATATAGTGGATGCAGTGTGTGTGTGTGTATATATAGAGGATGCAGTGTGTGTGTGTGTGTGTGTGTGTGTAGTGTGTGTGTAGTGGGTGCAGTGTGTGTGTGAAGAAACCATTTCCAATCTGAAATCTCTGATTGGCAGTGTCATCAGCTGGTGAAAATGGAGAGGGTGTCCAAAAGTCCACATGTAAGAATAATGAGGAGTAAAGGGGTGGACAAAGGTGGATCAGATACCATAATGGTGGAAGTGGGTCTTAAATCCAGATTTGTTTGAGAAGAGAAAATAAAAAGGCCTGGGTCTTCAAGACCGATCCATTTCAGAAGAGAGAAAAAAGGGCATATTGCATTATTGTGTTCACTGACCACTGATTGGTGATGAATGCATCTCAAGGGAAAGGAATGTGTGAATTAACAGAATGACAAAATAACAAGTAAATGCAGAAATGATGTGATGAATGGCAAGCAGAGGATGTGTGTGTGGTGGAATGAATGGATGCATGGATGAATGGATGAATGACAGTTTGTAATTACATTTGTCCTGATTAAATGATATGTTCCTTCTTCAGAAAAGGTTAAAGTAGATTTTCACCAATAGCTTGTTCCCTTGTCCGTATTATGAGCTCTATGATGTAATGTAATGTATTTCTGTAATCTCTGCTCCAAATACACTGACAGTACGTTTGTGACGGTATCTTATTTACACTGGAAACATTGACAGGCAACATTTTTCTTTGTCCTTTGTCATTTGTCCTAACTTAAAACCATTTCATTGCTGAGTTAACCTCTCTAAAAATCTTTCTACAACCAGTGATATTCGATAGCTAATTAAAATGCCTATGTATATGTAAATAATTGCAGTCCCTTATCCACAAAACTAATTCATGATAAAGGAAACATAAGAAAGGAACCCTTAGTAAATGAAACCATTATAAAGTAACCAACTGTAAAGTGACCCATGGTAAAGGAACTCATGGTAAAAGAAAATAAAGCCACCAAAAATCTCAGTGTGGTCTCAAATATTAGTGCTATGCAATTTAATCTGAAAAGTAGCAGATACGATGTAATATGGTTATCATCTTCCAAGACATATTTCTGTGGATTCCCATAGCAACAGAACAACCATTTATTCTCAATTTAAGGCCAAAATCAGAAGCGTGTTTTTGTTTAAATTTAGGAATATTATCAAGATTTATTTAGATTTCCGTTTGTATCAGCCTCAGTGGTGTAAATATTTTTTACTTCTTCAATTCTAATTTACCTAATTTAATTGTATCTTGCTTGCAAACATGTTTTACATTGAGAAATTGATTATGTGGCTTACAAATATTGTTTAAATTGATAGCATTTATTTGATCTGACTAGTAAGGATAAAATCCAATAGAACTTCAAACAGGTTCTTTAATAAAAACATTAATTAATTAAATAATTAAATGTACAGTTGCACAATTAAAGCAAACACAATAATCATTAGAAGCCAGGAATGTTTAAACATGATACACCCATCGTCTTGGGAAAAACAAGAAAACAGTAAATGCAAATTTGACTTCCTTGATGACATGTGATTTAAGTAATACTCCTCTACATATAAATAGGTGAAGGCACGTAAAGCACTTTAATCGAAAAATTCACCTTCGATTATCGTGTATTGCAGTATATAGAACGTTTCCAGAGGAACCATGTCTGGAGTCAAGGGACAGAAGAAATGCCCAGATCCATGCCCAGATCCATGCCCAGATCCTTGCCCACAACCATGCCCACCACAGAAATGTCAGGATCGTAAGTATCATTTTACATCTTCTAAGAATTTAACATATTTCTCAAACCAAGCATTCTATCGTAAAGTGTAATTTATATTCCCATGGTCTACTATACATCTGTTAAATTACAGATACATTATCAAGACATCTCTAAATTAGAATTAGTTATACATATTCCATAATTGGCAATTTCGACAAATAGATATGAAATAACTATGAAATCCAAAAACTGAGTGCAGTTGGTGATAATACCTACTGAGTTATTCAATAAATTTTAGTCAATTAAGTCCAAATTGCAAAACTGAGGCCGAATGAACCAAGCTGTAACTATAACTGTTGGAGAATTTTATAAAATCAGGTAATTTAGCCACAGTTGAGCAATTTAGATTGATATCTCTAAAATTTGGTGTTTTGGATATAAACCTGAGGATGCTGAGTACAATTGTTGCCTAGGTGGGACATCCAAGCCAGAACAATTCCCACAGTAATGTTTTTATAGTCCTATCACAGCACTAGAGTATAAATGGCATTTTAAAGAAATGATTTTGTTAAGACAAAAAAAAGCTGTATTTTTAAAATCAGATTCAATTACATTTTGACATACAATCATATACAATTTATTCTTATACTACAAATTACAACAGGGAATTATTAAAACTGCATAATATGATCATTTATACAGATTTAAGCTCTGAAATATAAAAAAACTTATCTTTTTGATATTTTCTGTTGGTAAATAATTTCTTTGGATCTGAAAATGCAAAAGAATACTATAATTGTAAAAATACATTATATTAAACATTTTAAAATGTCTCTGCAATAACCTCTTTATCTGTGTCTTATTTTACAGCATGTGACCCATGCCCTCCTCCACCATGCCCAGGTAAGCACGTGGCTTATTGAAATTACTTCTCCAGTTCCCTATCTTCCCTATCTTCTAATTACAATCGATTTCACTTCTAATTAAATTAAAATAGAATTAAGCATGCACAGCCAACAGACCAGTAGAAATCCAATATTAATTAATAAATACATTTTATATAAACTAATACCATGTTTACTGTAAAGGTGATTTAGATCCAAGTCCATAGGTGGTTTACTTAATACGATGATAAATTATTAATAATTGTACTTTGATCTTATTTTGTCTACTGGAACAATGCTACATGTTCACTTAGTTTTAGAAATGTGTTAAGTGTAGAGCTTACATTTTTCTTCTTAAGGAATAATATTTGATCATTGATATTAATAATTTGTTTGACGTTTGTAAGGGATACCTCAGAGGTAGATAAACCAATGGATGAAACAGCAAGCTTACTTTGTCTCCTGATCATAATGTGTCAATTTCCATTTTAGATCCGTGTAAACCAGTTCCACAGCAGTGTCAGCAAGACGTGAAATGCGTGAAGAAGTATTAATAAGAAGAGGCCATCCGATGATGGAAGCTGTCCACTGCTTGACCAAGATGATTCCTGTTTACCCCTCACCTTCTTAATGAGATTAATTTAATTACAGATTTTACGATTTCCATGATAACATCTGCATTTGCTAGTTAAGACGCACTTTATCCTTACTCACTATGCCAATAAATCATGATTAAAATGCAATATCTAAAATATGTTTATCTGTATTTTTTTTCTTCTATTCTGGTTCCATGAACTGATCACGTTAAAGTCTTAGTGGGTATATCCAGGGTCTCTATAACATATTTAATATTGGACATTCCTCTTCCTGATAGTATATTGGGCAGTTTATTTAAGGATTGGACGTGTGAACTTTTAACATTGATTGTAAACATAAAAGTATATATTGAAGCAAACAATATATCTGCATTGCAAAAAAACAAACAATTGTTTACGTCCGAATATAAGTTGAAAAAGCATTACAGATTTTTCTATTTTACGTGAAATGCTTCCCGCAAAAAGTGTTGATTATGGGGAATATTTTATGCAGGATTATTGATACATTTCTAGAACACTTGGGGAGAAGGGAAACACTTTCAAAATACATTTTGAATGAGACTGGATCCGTTTGTTTCCTCCTCCCTAAACGGTATGGCTTTTATTTCAGGCACTGCTCAGAAAGAAGCATCTATCATTTTCACTCCCTATCAAAAAACATTGGCTATTTGTATTACTCATTAATTAATTCATCTGAATTTTGAGAAAATTTAAATTTTGTTGGTGTTTTGTCCCTCAAAAGGGAGAAATAATGTACGACTACTTATTAGTGTTGTTTTTTTTTTAATTCTAAACTATGAAATGTCTTTCTTAATTTCTTAAATTCACCGTGTATATCACACTGACTCAACACCACAGAAAACGTATTTATAACATCTAATGGTTAGCACAGAACAATTTAAACCTGTTCCTGTTTAATATCAATATGCGAAAACACAATTTAATAATATATGCAATTTTGCTGATCAAGTAAAGTGTAACTGATCATAAATGTAAAGGTTCAAATGTTAGCAGACTAACAGGGTTATTCACTAAAGACAGAGTGGTCCCGTATTGAATGGGTCAAAACCATCCATCCAGCTGCATAGAGGGCCATTCAGATTCCAAAATTGTTCTTGCTATTTACCAATGTCTGTATTTTCCAATTCAGACCCCAAATGAGTCTGAAATAGATCTGAATTTCAGCTGGATCGAAAGCCACAGGATGGCTGAAATCTGAACCCGAACGCTTCAGATCCGAGCACTAATGCTTTAAATCTGCTCCAGTATAAAACAATGTGAATTATTTGCCTTCCGGCAGAAAGCTTATCCCTTAAACACAGTTTACAGCACCTACAATTCCTAACCCAAGAATGGCATTTAGATCTCTCCTTGGATTACAAACCCTTGCAGAGCTGAGTTTTTTAAAAACTATTTTATTGATCTCTTACAAAGAGTAAGTGAACGGTAATTTGCCGACATGCACCATATCTGATGGATTTGGCCTAGAATGTTTAGCTTTATACTTCATGACAGTACACTATGTCCCTATCTGCTTATTATGAAAATTACGACCCCCACCCACCTCGCATGGGTTGGGGCTGGGAGGGACCCTATGACCCCTTTGTTTAGCATTAAAATTAGAGCCCACACTGCTCCTCACGGGTGGAAGGCGAGGTGGACAATAGGTACTCTGATTTATTATAATTATAGCCCTCACACACTGACCATGAGCTTGGAGAATGCTAAACCCCCCACCCCACACACTTATTTTACTGTAATAGCCCCCACCTGCTGTCCATGGGTGGGGGTACAAGGGTGAAAAGTAATCTCTCCACACCCACATCATTTAATTTAAAGTGCCCACCTGATGTCCACGTGTGGGATCACAAGGAGGACCTGGCACCAGTATGTTAATAGCTGCTGAACAGCAATAGCCCAGTGGCTAGACTGTTTAGTGGACAAACCCCCACCCAGAGCATGCTGAGTGCAAGATACAAGGTAACAACCTTATCAAAAGCAAAGTGGTGGGCTTGGATAAAAGAGTGAGTTATATTAAAGTAGAGTGCCTATGAATAGTAAGGCAATAGAGTTTTTGAAGAATGGGCATGGCATGAGCAGACTGGGCATGTAGTGAAGGATGGGGCAGCTGTACCTCTCCGAGGAAACACAGATTCAATGACTTGATCTGGTTTGAGGTTTGATTAGACATTGCTATGTTGAACTACCCAGAGATCTGGGTTCAGATTAGATTTGTGCACAGATAAAAAAAAAATAACAATTCAACCCATTGAAACAGGAAAAAATATAATACAATCAGTAATGTTTGTTAGCAGGGCTGCAATTGGAATTTATGGAGCCCCTTATGTAGCTCAAATCCTGAGGCTCCAGGAGGCAGTGTATGTGTGTGCATATGTGCAGGATATTCAGAATTTGTGTATATAGTGGATAGAGTTTGTGTGTAGAGTGGATGCAGAGTGTGCATCGTGGTTAGAGAATGTGTGTGTAAGCGATGAAGGTTGTTTATAATAGATGCAGTTTTCTGTATAGTGGATGTTGGTGTATGTGTGTGGAGAAACGAACGAATCGAAATTTGAAATCTTTGATTGGCAGTGTTGTCAATCTATGAAAATGGACGTGGAGTCCAAGAATCCATGTGTCAGTATCATAAGGAGAAAAGGGGTGGATCAAAGGTGGATCATATACCATAATGGTGGGAGTTGGTCTTAAATCCAGATTTGTTTGAGAAGAGAAAATAATAAGGCATAAATGTTGGGTCGACTGATCAATGATTGTTGATGAATGCATCTCAAGGGAACAAAAATTATGAAAATAACAGAATGAAAAAAATAACAAATTAATAACCCTACAAATAGAAATGATGTGTTTATGGGGAATGAATGACTGAATAAATGCATGAATAAATGTTGGTTTCTAACTTCACCTGTCCTGATTACATGCAATGTCCCATCTCCCAAAAAGTTTAAAGTAGATGATTACCAATAGCTTGTTCCCTTGTCCATAGTATGAGCTTAACCTCTCTAAAAATTTATATGTTTATAATAAATAATAGCAGTTCATTATCCACCAAAGGAACCCATGGTAAAGGAACCTATAATAAAGGAACCCATGGTAAATTAACCTGTAGTAAAAGTACCCATGGTAAAGGAACACATAACAAAGGAACTCGTGGTAAATTAACTCGTAATAATAGAACCCATGGTAAAGGAAACCATAATAAAGAAACCCATGGTAAATTAACCTGCAATAAAGGAACCCATGGTAAATTAACCCGTAATAAAGGAACCCATGGTAAAGAAACCCATGGTAAATTAAGATGTAATAAAGTAGCCCAGGGTAAATTAATCCATATTAAAGGAACCCATGGTAAATTAAACCACAATAAAGGAACCCATGGTAAATTAACCTGTAATCATGAAACCCATGGTAAATTAACCCGCAATAAAGGAACCCATGGTAAATTAACCTGTACTAAAGGAACCCATGGTAAAGGAACCTGTATTAAAGGGACCCATGGTAAAGTAACATGTAATAAAGGAACCCATGGTAAATTAAACCATAATAATGGAATCCATGGTAAATGAACCTGTAATCATGGAACCCATGGTAAATTAACCCGCAATAAAGGAACCCATGGTACATTAACCTGTAATAAAGGGGCCCATGGTAAATTCAACCGTAATAAAGGAGCCCATGGTGAATTAAACCGTAGTAAAGGAACCCATGGTAAATTAACCAGTAATAAAGGAACCCATGGTAAATTTACCCACAATAAAGGAGCCCGTGGTAAATTAACTCGTAATAAAGGAATCCATGATAAATTAACCTGTAATAAAGAAACCTATGGTAAATTAAACCGTAATAAAGGAACCCATGGTAAATTAAACCATAATAAAAGAACCCATGGTAAATTAACCTGCAATACATGAGCCCATGGTAAATTAACCTGTAATAAAGAAGCCCGTGGTAAAATAAATCGTAATAAAGGAACCCACGGTAAAGAAACCCATGATAAATTAAGCTGTAATAAAGGAATCCATTGTAAAGGAACCCATAATAAAGGAGCCCATGGTAAAGAAACCCATGATAAATTTAGCTGTAATAAAGGAACCCATAATAAAGGAGCCTATGGTTAAGAAACCTGTATTAAAGTAACGCATGGAAAATTAACTCGCAATAAATGAACCCATGGTAAATTAACCGGCAATAAAGGAACACATGGTAAAGGAACCCGTAATAAAGGAGCCCATGGTAAATTAACCCGTTTTAAAGGAACCTAAGGAAAATTAACCTGTAATAAAGGAACCCATGGTAAAGAAACCCGTAATAAACGAACCCATGGTAAATTGACCCATAATAAAGGAGCCAATGGTAAATTAACTCGTAATATAGGAATCCATGGTAAATTAACCCGTAATAGAGGTACCCACGGTAAAGAAACCCATGGTAAATCAAGCTGTAGTAAAGGAATGTGCAACATATAAAAAAGTGTAGAGGATTAGCGCCACTCTAAAAAGACACTGGTGAGAATATTATAACCAACATAAGATGCCTTAAATAAGTCTACAATAGATAGATACACTTAAAAAATGGTATAGAATAAAAATAAATATAAAATAAGATAAATATAATAATAAAAAATAAAATATAAATTATTGAATATATGTCCAAGATAGAGAGTCCAATAAAAGATGATGGTATATACTTTCCAGATGAGCAATCACAAACTTGTTCAAGGAAAATATTCTTGTTGGGATGTCAGATGCGGTCCGTATGTGGAAAGAAGGAGAGGATATCCCAACATCTATCCTATTCTGGATCCAGGCAAAGGGGGAACTTGATGTTACAAAACCCATAAAGATTCCACAAGACTTCCAGAGTGTGCATCCTTTTGGAGATAAGTGGCCCCACTAGGAGCAAGACTTTCATTGCACAAAATTTTTATTTTTGTGCCATTTTAAATTGTGTGTGTGTTTTTTATGTTTACTTATACATTGTTGTCATAAACACTATATGTTTTTCCTTCCCCTTTCTTTATTTTTCCCTGTACTGTTACCATATTGCAGAGTATTTCTTTCCAGAAACTTGCAAATACCTTACTTCAGGTAACAGATGTATTTACCTAGTTACATGGTTACATAGTTACATGGCTGAAA